CTTCGACAGTAAATAATAAATTCGTAATTTGTCAGGAGCTCTCTCGTATTAAAATCGCAGAATATAAAATACTGTTCAAAATATTTGAATTAAAAAAATTCTAAACAAACTAATTTTGAAATCTTAGACTTAGTTCAAAATATATGTTACTTGGAAATAATAAAATCGGCTTTTAAACAAAGCCAGCTTGAAGAATTTGCCACAAATTGGCAGGTATGTGCAAATGTGTTGCAAATATAGTATTAAATTTGCAAGCCTGCAAAGATGTATGCAAATATGAAGCGAATTTATCTAGTTGCAAAGATGAATTCGCAATGGTTGCGAATTCAAACTACTAAATTTGCATCAAATTCGCAACTATTGCAAATTTAGTGCGGATCTATTTTTTCGTCCCGTGTAAGACCTTGACATTAAGCTTATCATTTTATGCTATAATTAGTTAACACTTTAACACTAGACTTATCATTTGATAATTTCCAGCGAACCCACCTTAATATTAGGGCCATTTATACAAGACAAAACAAGTCGCGTATTGTAAGACGCGGTGGTGTGCGGGAACAGCACTCGTATTGTATGCTGAGGGTCGTGGGTTCAATCCCAGAGTGAGCGCGAACGAATAAGTTTGCTGGGCGTGGTGGCGTGCGCCTGTAACCGAGCTACTATGGAGCAGGTAGTGTCAAATGACTTGAGGTCGGGACTCCTGTCGTACGTCGACCTATGTCGATCGGGTTCCACACTAAGTTGGGCATCAATATGGTGAACTTAGGGGAACCTTCGTCCACCAGGTTGAATAAAGAAGAACTTACCGGCCCAGGATGGAAACATAAGACGCGACTTAAATAGGAAGCGAGTTTGTCGTACTGAAAGGTACAAAATTCTTATGTAAGACGCGTCTTATGTAAGTCGCGACTTATTTTGTTCTGTATAACTGGCCCTAATGTGTTTAAACACATGTGACACACTGCTGTCACACCATGTATGTAGGACGTATAGTGTTTGAGCATGCATATATCTTCTAGTATAAAGCCATATCATGTTAAACATTTAGCCCCTTAACGCTGACCTAATCGTTTTGATGTTTT